GGGGCCTTCCGACTCGTGATTTGCCGGAGGGAGCAGTGTTTGACGCTCATGCTTACCATTGAGTTTGTTGCAGACACGCACCTTGGAGCACCGTCGTCGAACAAACCTCCGCCAGACGGATCTGGGCACCCGCCTGGTCCTGATTGTCCCGATCATGGTCCGGATACGAGGGAGGACCCGCCCAGCCGGGGCTCTGGTACCCGGCACGAGCGTCCTGCCAGCCGCAGCCGGTCCCCAAGGCAGCCATCAACAGGGACAGCCGAGACTCATCATGCCTCAGCGGTGGATGATGCTTGTCGGTCAGGTACCGATCTGCCAAGCGCACACGATTGTGGAGGGAGAATCACGTGGCATCCTGCTTTTCAAAGACGTGTTCTTGTCGAGAACGAGCGGGATCTCACCCCTGCTTTCCCCACCGCCACTCTTCGTGTTGTTGGCCCGCATGCCACAGACCTGGTCCAGTCGCTCTACGATTTTCTCTTTCGCAGAGTTGCCCACCCTGACCATCCTTCCCTTCGAGCAGTGTTCCGGTTGCTCCAGGAAAGCATGCGTCAAGGTTTAGCTGCCGATGAGCTGTATGCTGCAGCTCGGACAGCCACTCTGCGCCTCGGCCATCCCTGGCCCCTTGAGCCGCGCCGCGCCTCTTGCCCCTGCCACAGCTTGAAGGGCACACTGAGGGGAGCAATTTCCTCCATGATCCCGCCCACGTTCACCTCGCACTCCTGCGTGAATTGCAGGAAGCCGACACAGACGCGTCTGAAGGACTCTGGGAGGTAGTGAGCGGCTATATCGCCCCGTTGAACATTCTGTGCAACACAGTCGCGGCGTGGAGCACCCAACCTGGTCCTAACCAGGATGTCGCCGAGGTGTCCACTCAAGCTGGGGATTTGCAGCTGCTCCTCGATGTGGATTTGTGGTGTGACGATTTTCGGGCTCCTCGCGCCCCACGTGCTCCACTCGATTGCTGTCCCCCCTTGGCATCTGTGGGGGAAGGCGAGTTCTGCTTCCTTTTATCGATGCTCCGCCATCGCGTGATTTCTGTCACCCCTTCCGGAGCAGCGTCCCTCTCGCCTCAGCACGGCGTGCAGTTGCCTGGTTAGAGGCTGCTTGCAAGCGACGCAAACATCGCCCGTGCTCATCCGAGCCTCCCCTGCTGCCCTTGCTATGCTAGAACCCGCCACTAGCTGGTTGCTACAGGGAGGTTTTGTTTTGGTGGCTGATGGCTTGAGAACACCCTTTGGGTAGACTCGCCACTCCACCCGTTCAGTCTCACCTCGAATTTGATGCGAGAGGCGCATCCCCCGGACTCTAGCCTGTGGAGAAGAAGAAGGGTTCGCACTTACCTTTACCCTCACTTTCGCATTCACCTCCGCCTCATCACCTTCCACGTGGTTTATAATAGGGTTTGGAGTGTTCGAAGGTTTCTATGCAACAGAGGCTAGAGATGCGAGGATGGCACGCCCTCTGGCTGATCCAACTAAAGTTAACCATATCTGAAAATGTTGTCGGGAACTGACTGTCAGGTATTGCCCAGTGCGCGGAAATCCGGCGGATCGCTTCAGATTGTCCGGTTGTCAGCATGTCCGGAGTGCAGACACACAGCCGGAGCGCACTGGGACAAAAACGGTGATGAATAGGAGTGATAGGAAGGGCAACAAGCGACAGTTACAGAGCAAGCACGAGAGACAGAGAGGCATGGGAAATGACAGGTCTGTGAAAAGACATTGAGTGCTACATGCACATTGCAAGAGACAACGGAGCGATCCACGAGGCAGCCGCGAGCATTCACCGACGCTTTAGCCTCGCCTCGATAACGTTTCCCGGCCTGGGAGTTTGTATGAGTTTGTAACCAAAATGCAACTCCCCCTGCAGGATTTTCGACAGTGCCTGGAAGCTTCGCCAGGTAGTCCGCTTCAGATGCGCTTCAGGAACCGTGGCCTTGACGTCCCACGGACAAACCGCGGCAGTTGTGTATGAGAAAAGTGCACTCAGGGCAGAGCGATGAGCTCTTCTTCCGTAATTTCGGGTGGCAGGAGTCTCACAACGACCTGCCGCACGTGTCGCATATCTTGCACAGCTTTGCACGCGGTCCCATTGGCTCCTTGAGGGCTTCTTTCGCCATCAACAGCACGCTGTCGGACCCTGGGCGCAGCACTGAAGGGCGGAAAAGGCTAACGTGCTGTTGTTTCGGCTGATGTTGAGGAATCACTGCTCTTTTGTGCGTCTTTGTTTCGTGCACTCGTCGCCAAGGTGCTGGAATGCTGTTCTTGTGATGTCTCATGAACCCGCTTGAGCAGGTTACGGCGCGCCAGGGTGCCTGCGACTTGTCAGTGCCTCAATTGCTGCTCCGCGCAAACACACACACACACACACACCCGCACACACACACACACACACGGAGAAAGACACATGCACGCGCGTGCACACGAACGCGCGAACATGCACCTGTAGTCAAAACACGACCATGGACGGAAGCAAGTAGATATTTGCCGCCATGGAGACTGGTACACGGTTGAGAGCGTCGATTTCAACATCGCAGGTCACGATGAAGAACTTTGCAAAAAAAACAATCACTTATGATAAGAAGAATCTGAAAGTCTTATGCCACAAACATGGTGGCCTGCTCCCAGCCCAGCAGCTCCGTCTTGAGGATTCAATTGGAACAAGTTGGACTGGAATCAGTCATTTGCAGGCCGCTTGGAAAAACGTCGTAGAACGATACGGTAGGTGCGGTTCTGGGACTGTTGTCTGTGTTCCTATGGTCGGCTTGCATGGCGCCACGCACTTAGGCGTTTCAATGGCACTCCAGGCCAGGGCCTTTGCAGGATTTAACTAGTCGAACCTTCAGCCAGGCTGTCACACGGGGCAACGGCAGAGAAACTGTTCTGATGCTTCCTTACCGATGCCTATCTTGGCTGCTGCCCCGTCACATCCTGCCCATGCAACACGGATGAACATCTCGGACACGTGTTTGCTTTCTGGCAGCAAAGCCGGAGCAATGCTGTCCGACGGCAGGCGGACTGTCGAATTGGGAGGAATAAGTTGCGCAAGATGTGTGCCTCATGCCCACGTGCTGATGGCTCGAAACATGTCAATCTAAACACTATGCAAGCACACAAACGCGGCAAGGGATACGTTGAGATTCAACGCACCTTGCCTGTACGGGCAAGGCAAACCTAGATGACACTTTCCGGTTCTCGTCCGGCTCTTGTTGTGCAACTTCTGCACGGCAGCATACAGTGCAAGAATTCTTCTCGGTGCATTTAGCTCATGCATCCTGCCGCTGCAGATTGGGCGAGTGCGAGGTATCTTTAAAAGTGCCCAACGAAAAAAGGGACAGAGAGGGGACAGAGAAACAAGAGAGAGAGAGAGAGAGAGGGAGAGACAGAGAGAGGGAGGGGGAGACGAATGCGGTGGCATTGTACCGCAGCAATGGACACTGCGATTCACCAACACACAAGCTGATTCTTGTGGCACTTGGGCTGTTACATGGTACCTTCACATAAATGTAGAGAATTTACATACGAGAACTCTTGTGCTTCATAGCTACTTGCACGTGCTTAACAAGCAAGCCTAGAATCATCGCCGGCAATCTCCTTCAAAGCGGAACTTTGCTCCATGCTCCGGAAGATAGCCTGCTTCGAGGCTTGGGCAATATAGGCTTTAGGGCCTGTCCAAAGACCTGCGGAGCGCACGGCAAAGAGACTGGGAACTGCTTTCGCTGCCGTGGTCTATGGTGGAGGTCTTGAGTTGCCCTGCACCTCTCTTAATATCCGTGATCGGTACCTGTAAGTACATTTAGGGCCTGGCAGAAAGTTCCCGGTCACACCAACATCACCAGCAGATCTTCGCGCAGCTGACGAAGGCGCTCAGGCGCAAAGCTCCGGATTGAAAAACAGGAAAGCGCACAAGATCTTGCGTTCCTAGCTCGCGAATCAACAACACTGCCTGTCCGCCGGAGAGTTTGCATTCACGAGCTCAGCATGGCTAAAAAAGGGCTGCCACTAAGGCAGTCCTTTTTGTGCGGGACCATGCACTAGAGACACTTTTGGATCAGACCCAGCCTCCGGTCCCATCCTTTCTCCGCAAACAGTCGGTAGTCTCCAGTCGCGCCATTAGATCATTCTCAGACTCGTCAGACCAGAAAAAGGTGCACCACGGCCAGGACAGCAGAGTCCAGGACATTGCCAGAGCCCGGTTACGACGAGGCATCGTTTTCGCACTTGCTCGAGGCTTGCTGGAGCTGGTGTGCCCTCGCTGGAGCTGGTCAATTGCCACATCGACAAACCGGGCACTTCTCCGCCGGCCGAACTTGCAAACACTGAACAGCCAAGGCCTTTCTCGAAAGATGCTGGGTGGAAATAAACGTGATATGGCGATGTGAACGGGGTGAAATGAATGTACGTTCAGGATTGGCAAACTGCTCATCCGCAAATATGGGAAGGGCTGCTGCAAACAATGTTTGACTTTCGCTATTTACGTGCTACGCTCGTGGTTCAAACTCCACCTGCTGGCATTGCCAGCTCGCGATGTGAACTCAGGCGTGTTGTAAGGTGCCTCAGCGACACATACATGCCTTGCATGGAGATGAAAGGCATCGGAAATTGCTTTACCGAATCACAGACATTGGTTCAAGCGCGAGACTTGGCTTTTGCTGCTCTGATGGCCCGTGTTAGCTACGTCCTCACACCTTTGGAGCGGATATGACATGCAGATTGAGGCTTGTGAGGGTGCTGCACGTGCGTGAGCTCTTGCGTGCCCCTGAAGCTGATGTGCATGCCCAGCCAAGACCTGTACTCTTCGCCTAACACACGAGCCTGCATGCTTCTGCTGTGCTTTCCGAGGCACTCTGTTGGAGCGACTAGAGGAGAGTGTGATGGCTCAGGCCTTACAAGATCTTTCTCACGACACGATGTCTAGTCGCGTCTAACATCGAGCCATTGGTCGCTCTCAGGCATTGCGGCAACCCAGACTCCCGCAGCCGGACCATGCTGTGCGCATCACAGTTGCCGCCTCGCATTGCTCCAGTCTACAGATTGCAAGCTGCAGCTGCGAGAGCTGGACATCATCACCGGCACATGGTGACCCGGAAGGCACTTTCAATCTCAGTGCCCTGCATTGGAGTTTCTTCCTCTGTCGTGGCAGGGCTATTGACCTGGAATTTCTTCTGGGTTCCGCGGATTTTCACGGGATTTCTGGCTCCGCGCACCGGCCCGCCAGGCGGCTCCGACTGCAAAGACAGCGACAAAACAGTGCGCCTTGAGCTTGGAACAATGGGCTTGAAAGGACTGACGACCATCACTAGGAGGCTGAGCTTCCGGGCCCAACCTGAATCGAGATAGCGCTGCTGTGATCAAGTGGGCGTGGCTTTTTCATGGCCACAAGAGTACCTGCTCCGCCCAGGCCAAGCTACCGTCACTAGGCCTCAAGGCCGCTCGGAGATCTCCTGGGAGCGCTGCCGAATTTGGAGTTATGGTCTTCCAGCACGAAGCTGCCTGCGGGCCCGGAAGACTTCATTTTGCTTGGCACATAACCGGCAGGCCTTTCTGATAGCGAATTATGGCGTGACAGCGCGAGATCGACCTTAGAATCATCTCCCGCAAACACCCCCAACAATTCTGAAGCCCGTGTAGAGAGCTCAGAATCAGGCACATCTGCAATGCGCACATTGCTTTCGTGGCCTGCAGAAGCTACATCCACTGCAGGACACAGTGCACCCACAAAGGCAAGTGGACACGATGAACTCTTCCATTTACTTTGCTGACTTGGCGAGAGGGATGGTGACAACCACTGCTTGTCTCCGGCATGCTACGTGCGCATGCGCGAGCCCTTACAAGCACATCTGGCAGGTTGGCCTCTACCAAGCTTTAGGACTTTGTTCTCTGCAAGAGACACCTGAAAACGGCGCTGAAGACAAATTCAGGAAGCCACGAACCCTGCCCGCTTGCTCGCTTAGGCCGGTCACCACATGCAAGCCGCGGCTGCTGTGCCTCGCCAGCCGAGCTCTCAAAAAGCGATTGCATCAATCTCTTGATATATCTTGCTCTCTTGCAGCGCTATGCCACGAACTGCTGCGCATCACGCATCATGTTCTCGAGGACCTTGTGGCCCACACACAGCCGCACATGGTGCGCAGTAGCATTGAAACTTGGGATCAAGCAATGAAGGGGGGCTTTGTCTTCGGGACCTCCACAAGAGGCATCTTATCCTCTCCTTAGAGAGACGGAGCATCTACAACTGGCCAAAGCCGAGCGAGACTGTGAACAACACATCTACATAGTTGTGCAGCGCTTGGGCTGTCGCCTTTGGTAACTGAGGCTGGGTATGCAGCCTGACAGCGACAAGACTGCTGGGAGCGCATGAACAAGTCCAAGGCAATACGAGTCAGCACAACATATCCCAACCATCGATGGTTTCCTGCCTTGCACAGTTCACAAGGCAACGGCCTCAGAGCGCACAAGGCTGCAGCACTAAGCGCAAGCAGCCTGGTGCTCGGCGATGACACCCAGAACGGCACGTGACACAATACTGACACCCTGCCTTTGCATTGTCACTGAGCCGAGGGCCGATAGAAGTACGAGCCTTCCGGTGTATCCGCAATGTTGAGGCGTCCCTTGACCTCGACGTCTCGACATTGTGCTGGTGGCTTCCAGTGGCCAAGGTCGAGTCTCACAAGTGCGGTTGGGGGCTTCAAATAGAACCAGTGGCCCAAGTTGAAAGCAAGCCACAACAGACCTGCAGTCGGCAGAGTGCTCTCAGTTCCCGGCCCAGTGGCGGAGGCAACCAAGATGGACATACTCAATCGACCCTCTGCAATTGCAAGGCCTGCGGGGAGACTCAACATCACACAGACTACACCGGTCACCGCTGCGTCCGTGTTACAGGCCTGATGAGGGGGTCATCTTCAGAGGATCCCTCCAGCAGGCAAATACGGCAAGACCTTGACAAGCCATGACCATGTTTCCTCAATGGATCGAATGATCGATTCAGGATTCTTGCCTCTGACAACATTGCTTGCCATACAGTCAACCACCCACACTGCGAGCTGCCGACGTGGAAGCCAGGCGGGTCTCATGGTCCGACCTGTTTGAATCTTGCACTCAACGGGCTTAATCCGGGTGCTTAATGTGCATGCAATACTTGGTGCCCTGGCTCTATGTCGCATGTGGACCCGGCAGAATCATCCAGATGCAGCTCCGGCTGGACGGCGGACTCAGCATGATCAGTCTTGTGGCGACAAAGAGGTTCGCATCTCAGGAAATTTGAGAAGTCCGGGCCCAGACCCAAACTTGGCTGTACATGACTCTGCTTATTAAGCCGGGTGTGGTAAGCTCTGTTAGACAACACCAGCAGTGACTTGCAATGCATGTCGACACTCGGCGGTCAGGTGCAGGCTGACTCAGAGGCCACCATCTGCCGAACCTTGAACTTGAAGCGGCCAAGCCTAAACGACAAGAACATACAATAATGTGCGTCAGCAAGCATATGAGCAAACTCATGCGGTCCTTGACTTTGACTCTCGTATCAGATCTTTCACTTAGACACAGGCTTGATCACATCGCTTTCTGACAGCCTCGGGCAGGTCCACATGCTCGGCAACCGTGCTTGCATGCGACTGTCTACCACATGGGTCCGAGCGAGGGGCTTATGTCCGGACGTAGCCAGATCACGAACTACTACCCACAGTTTCTTGGAACTGTTGCTGGCGGGAGCTACCTGAGGCTGGCAGCTGCGTGATGACTGTGTACTAGCACCAGGCTGCACAGGCTGGTCCGTGCCTTGTCCACCCAATAGCAGCCCTCTCGCTGCACTAGACGGAGCATAGGCTCCCCACCTGTCGGCGCAAAGCAGCTTCATATGCGGCACTGCCAGCAGTCGAAAGTCGAAAGTACAGTTGGTTCGCTGAGGTTCGCTTCCCGCATCGAAACAATGAGACACACACGCAAAAACACCCAAGTGGTGCTTGCGGCAACTGCCAGATCTGGAATAACTCCTGTATAAAAGTTCCCGCCTAAGACAGAAAATAGAGCCGGAAATCGAAATAACAAGACTGGAACACAATCGCACCTTTCTGCTAGCAGACTCGAGAACAACCCAAAGCAAAAGCCAACTATGCTAGAGAGGAGCGCACCAGACGTCCAACTACCATGGTTGAAAAAGACTGAACCAGCAGAATAAGTGCGACAATGTTGAAACAAACACATACACAGAAAGTTAGGAAACAGACAATGGCAGTCAGGGTGTCATGTTGAGTTTCTTTGTTTTTCCATCCTACGGTTGCATATTGTTTCACGTTGGTGCACTGCCTGTTTCCTCACAGGGTGTGGCAACACTATGGGGTCCTGAATTTATTCACTTGGCGATTCCGCAGCTCTCGCTGTGGCACTTTGCGCCACTTCGACCAAAAGGAACCGCGGCACTCTCCAACTTCCTCAATCGTGCTCTCGCCGCAGTGCGATGGGCATTTCGGGGTGGAAGACCATGCTCCCACAAGTGCAGATCGGATTTTGCTCCTCCCTGTTGGACCGCGCGCTCTCGCCCCAGTGCCGTGTGTAAGTTGAGGGGGCGAAGCGTACTCTCGCCAATGCCGCTCGCATTTCCACTTGGACTCGGTGTTGGGGGTGGTTTTGAAGCAGTCCTCGAGTGGAATACTGTCATACGGCGGTCTTGAATTGGTCACAGAATGTGGTCCTGGTGTGGTCCGACTGTGGTCTACAGAGTCTACAAGTGAAGCTGTGTGGTATCGACTCTTTGCCGACATCGCGAACAGTGTGTTCGAGCTTGTGGTGATAGTATCTTGTGCTTTTTTGCCTGGTTATTGCTTCTGTTTTTGCTGGAATTGCCAACAAAGGCCTCAGTCTTGCTTCAGTTCTGCGATGTTCTGCAGCTTCTGGCTGCTGTCTTCGAAGCCTGGGTTGCTGCACTGCCCCAGGCACTGATGACTTCAGCAATGATCTTTCTGATCGGAAGAAAGAAAGGGCTTTTTCGACACATGAGGCCGTCCCCTCGCCCGCATGCTGTATTAATCCAATAAGGTTTTGCCACTTGACAGACTTGCAAGTAACTAACAAAGTGAAGATTGGGCCTGCGGGTGGGCTTTCGCTGTCCGTGAACATCTGGACCTTTCTCGAGCAACGACGGGGCTATCACGGCTATGAAGGCTTCTGAGCTCCGGGGCATCTGTTCCAGACCGAACAAATTTTGCCGAATTGGGGACTGTGAAAGTCTGCCTGCATGACACCCGCAAGCATCATGAGGCAGCTTCTCAAGCACTTAAGCCCATGCAGGGCCATCCAGAAACTGTGGCAGGACGGCGTTTGCAGCTGACTTGCTTCAAAGTCGAAGAGGTCGTGAGAGTCGCGAGCCCAAGTACTAGCCACGACCTGGCAATCCGAGAATTCGGCAGATGCCAAACAATCCAGAAACCAGCCTTCACGCCCATTGGTCCTGCCCCAGATGTGGGGCTGGAAGTGCTCCCCGTCGACCTACGAAAAAAAAAAAACTCGACTCGTGCTCGCAACAGCGACCGTGTCCCAAGCAACACAAACAAACACTTCTTGATGCGGTCCACCCCCATGAAACGGCAAATTGCCCTGGTCAGCACTGCTACTCTTCTACTTCTACTTCTACTACTAC